CATGCGTCAACACAGGAGTACAGGATGAGTGCCGGCGGGCGAGGAAGACGCGGCACCTGAACAACCAGAGTGGAGCCTCTTACTCGAGTACTTCCGGAGTGCTGCTCTCAGTGCCGTGTTGTGAATCATCACAACACTCTTATGGTTGTACTCCAAGTTGTGTGTCGAGGTCCAGCGTGTGGGAGTGGTGCCTCCTGCCTGGGCGCAACTCTACAGTGTTCTCAACACTTTACTTTGTACTCTACACTCGCTGGAGTACAGGTTATCTTAGTCTACAGTGTGAAATGATTTATCTATCATGTGCTGAAATTATGATATCTAAGATTTTAACTAATTGTTTGGTTCTGTATTTGCTGTGGAAAATGTTAATTATATTTGGCCAAACCTTTGGTATAGAATGAGTAAAGCCTCATTATATTCATGACCATTTACAATGTCATTACTGTGACGAGTATGATGATCAAACTAATCATCATACACAAATTATATCCACAAAATTATTGGCTATAAACTAAGTTGGGAAACTCTAGGCCTAACTTGGGAACAGGGCCGCTCGCGACACCGGGGTTTTATTTTGTATCTTTTTTTTACTTTTTGCCGGGATACTGGAGCGCGGACCTCATGCCTCTGGCTGGCCCTCAAGTGTTACTTGTTTATGGTTTGTGCTTTACTTAGGCGGAGTGTCAGTATTTATGACTCGTATGTTTCCTTCAGTAAGATTATGCCCCATGTAGTCCGTCCTCGCATACATAGATCCAAGCTCGTTAATCCAGCCGCCAAACCCGTTCCAGTAGTCTGTTGTGGTTGTAGCTGTGCACTGTGTTAGATAATGTTCCAGTGGTCTGTTGTAGCTGTAACTGTGCACTGTGTTAGATAATGTTCCAGTGGTCTGTTGTGGCTGTAACTGTGCACTGTGTTAGATAATGTTCCAGTGGTCTGTTGTGGCTGTAACTGTGCACTGTGTTAGATAATGTTCCAGTGGTCTGTTGTGGCTGTAACTGTGCACTGTGTTAGATAATGTTCCAGTGGTCTGTTGTGGCTGTAACTGTGCACTGTGTTAGATAATGTTCCAGTGGTCTGTTGTGGCTGTAACTGTGCACTGTGTTAGATAATGTTCCAGTGGTCTGTTGTGGCTGTAACTGTGCACTGTGTTAGATAATGTTCCAGTGGTCTGTTGTGGCTGTAACTGTGCACTGTGTTAGATAATGTTCCAGTGGTCTGTTGTGGCTGTAACTGTGCACTGTGTTAGATAATGTTCCAGTGGTCTGTTGTGGTTGTAACTGTGCACTGTGTTAGATAATGTTCCAGTGGTCTGTTGTGGTTGTAACTGTGCACTGTGCTAGATAATGTTCCAGTGGTCTGTTGTGGTTGTAACTGTACACTGTGTTAGATAATGTTCCAGTGGTCTGTTGTGGTTGTAACTGTGCACTGTGTTAGATAATGTTCCAGTGGTCTGTTGTGGTTGTAACTGTGCACTGTGTTAGATAATGTTGCCGTGGTCTGTTGTGGTTGTAACTGTGCACTGTGTTAGATAATGTTGCCGTGGTGTGTCGGGCATTTCGCCAGGCTGTTCTATGACTGTTAACTTGTCAGTATCAACCTGTCAGTAGGGCCTCGTAGCCTGGTGGATAGCGCGCAGGGCTCGTAATTCTGTGGCGCGGGTTCGATTCCCGCACGAGGCAGAAACAAATGGGCAAAGTTTCTTTCACCCTGAATGCCCCTGTTACCTAGCAGTAAATAGGTACCTGGGAGTTAGTCAGCTGTCACGGGCTGCTTCCTGGGGGTGGAGGCCTGGTCGAAGACCGGGCCGCGGGGACACTAAAGCCCCGAAATCATCTCAAGATAACTCTCACACCACTTCAGTAACAGGGCAATAGGTCTTTCTTCTAACTATCGACCAGTTTGATCATTATCAAAAATCATCAAGTACAACATTTGTTCACCTTCCGATTAAGTCTTTATAAATGAATCGTTTAACAAATATTCCTAATTATTCATCGCGTTAGTTTAGTTCATATATTATGCACCCCATACCCATCTTGTGGGCGGTAGTGGAAAGTGTTACAGAGGCACATAATGGGCTCAGGGACTGAACCCCACAATTCATTTAGTTAAGCAAGTTACAATCTTGATGAGCTAGTTACAAAATTCAGTATAAGTCGTTACATCATCACTGGGTTCGAGATCGACCACAAGCACAGGTCCTAAATTAAGCAACTGACATATGTGGAGAGCTAGTGTCACAATTGATATGTTTGTCCTGCACACCGCCCCCATCCAGTGGGCAGCGGTGGATAGGTTACAATCACTTAGTTACTACCTACAGTTAGCAAACTGGGGATATTTGACTAAAATTTCTGGTAGCAGATCATTTTGAATGAAATATTTACACATCGTTGGAACATTGATTATAGAATTGTCTCTGAACTCACGTATCTTTTCGCACTCCATCACATAGTGACGGAGGGTGTGGCGAATAATTTTGTTGACACAGTTTACATTTGGTCAGGTCTACATCAGCAGATAATGAGAATTCCCAGAGATACTTGTAACCGAGTCTAAACCGAGCAGTAGTAACATCTAGAAGTCTGCTGATTTTATTGGATGATCCATGGATGTGTGGCTCCTCTTGCATGATAGTATGATGATAGATGGAATTACTGGTGTGCCAGTACGGTGTGAGTGGCACTGTGTCGTTGACGACTGCCAGTACGGTGTGAGTGGCACTGTCGTTGAGGAGTACCAGTACCGTGGGTGGCACTAACGAGTGCCAGTACCGTGGGTGACACTGAGGAGTGCCAGTACCGTGGGTGGCACTGAGGAGTGCCAGTACCGTGGGTGACACTAACGAGTGCCAGTACCGTGGGTGGCACTAACGAGTGCCAGTACCGTGGGTGACACTGAGGAGTGCCAGTACCGTGGGTGGCACTGAGGAGTGCCAGTACCGTGGGTGACACTGACGAGTGCCAGTACCGTGGGTGGCACTAACGAGTGCCAGTACCGTGGGTGACACTGAGGAGTGCCAGTACCGTGGGTGGCACTAACGAGTGCCAGTACCGTGGGTGACACTGAGGAGTACCAGTACCGTGGGTGACACTGAGGAGTGCCAGTACCGTGGGTGACACTGAGGAGTGCCAGTACCGGGGGTGACACTGAGGAGTGCCAGTACCGTGGGTGGCACTAACGAGTGCCAGTACCGTGGGTGGCACTGACGAGTGCCAGTACCGTGGGTGGCACTAACGAGTGCCAGTACCGTGGGTGACACTGAGGAGTGCCAGTACCGTGGGTGGCACTGACGAGTGCCAGTACCGTGGGTGGCACTAACGAGTGCCAGTACCGTGGGTGACACTGAGGAGTGCCAGTACCGTGGGTGACACTGACGAGTGCCAGTACCGTGGGTGGCACTAACGAGTGCCAGTACCGTGGGTGACACTGAGGAGTACCAGTACCGTGGGTGGCACTGAGGAGTGCCAGTACCGTGGGTGACACTGAGGAGTGCCAGTACCGTGGGTGGCACTGAGGAGTGCCAGTACCGTGGGTGACACTGAGGAGTGCCAGTACCGTGGGTGACACTAACGAGTGCCAGTACCGTGGGTGACACTGAGGAGTACCAGTACCGTGGGTGGCACTGAGGAGTGCCAGTACCGTGGGTGACACTGAGGAGTGCCAGTACCGTGGGTGACACTGAGGAGTGCCAGTACCGTGGGTGACACTAACGAGTGCCAGTACCGTGGGTGACACTGACGAGTGCCAGTACCGTGGGTGACACTGACGAGTGCCAGTACCGTGGGTGACACTAACGAGTGCCAGTACCGTGGGTGACACTGAGGAGTACCAGTACCGTGGGTGGCACTGAGGAGTGCCAGTACCGTGGGTGACACTGAGGAGTGCCAGTACCGTGGGTGACACTGAGGAGTGCCAGTACCGTGGGTGACACTAACGAGTGCCAGTACCGTGGGTGGCACTGACGACTGCCAGGGTGGCCCTGCTCAACAATATAACCTTAAGGCCGCCACTTAACAAGGCAGGAACCCCACACCACCTCCACACCCGTCCTGCTGTTGGCCTTAAACTCCTTAATTACTTAATTGGTCTGTCACTGGCAGATGTTGTAGTGCTGAAAGGTATATTATACCTTATAATAAACTTATAGGCTTATAGGGGGTAATATTATGAGGAATAATATTAATGTATCGAAAATATATATATATATATAAACGCCAGGGGGCAGGAAGCAAAGGGCAGGGGCGGGAGGCAGGGGGTAGGGGGCAGGAGGAAGAGTCAGGGGGGCCACAGGAGTGTAACACTGGACGGGGTTTAGCTCTCTCTTGCCCTTTACCTCGCCCGTAATTAACTTACTTAAACTTAACTGCAAGACCCCAGAGCCAACTTTCAGCCGAGTCCCACGTCACGTGGTCTTAGCCGTTCGATGGTCTGAGACTCTAGAGACACGTGATGTCGACACCAGGCTTGCTAGCTAACTGAAGGATCTTCTGCCTCCCACCACCAAACCAATTGAAAAACCAAACAAATTAATTAATCGGGGTTTGGGCCAATTAATCAGTTATTAAACCCTTGGAGCTTAATCCCCAAAGTACATGGGAAAGGGGGGATGAATTTACGTTAAGTGTGGGAATTACTCAAACAAAGCAAAGGGATATATTTGGGAGTTAAGATAGCATGACTTGTTTGTAGTATTCAGAGTGATTCATTCCCATAACCCAGAGTGGTAGTGACCTCGGCCAGGACGATAAGCAACCCGTCCTCTTAAAAATAACGTCACTTTTGGCTCGTATGCGCACTTCGATAAGTACATAATATTACTGATGGAGATACTCAAAAATACGAACGAGGAAATCTTAACAGCGTTTACTATCAATAGCTAAGAAATGTGAAATAATAAGAATCACTCCCCAAGCTATCACTCCATAATCCGAAACTAGAAACAAAAGAGACAGCAACATGACCCGTCACTGTACAAATCTTATAGCAGCTTTTACCTTAATCTTTAGGAGACCAGCCGATGGTGTTCTGGTCTCGGGAGACAAGATGGAGAACGTCGTCAACTGCTGCTCCAAGCCACACTAACTAGCCCTCAGCTAAGGACTGGCCGAGGCTAGTCAGTATTACTCCGCCAGATTCATCAATGTATCAAACATGGTTTAACTTGAATAAACCAATCTCATATCCTAGCCAAACCAGCGGTTGAATTATTATTTAAGCTGTTGGTAATTAAAGTAGACATCTTGATCTGAATCAGTCTCTAATAGACTAGAGATCTGAATTTTGTACTTTGTGAATTAAATAATATGGAGGGTTTTGGTGACCCCTGGACCCAGGGTGGTCAAGATTCTTACGCTTCCGAAACTAGTTCCCTCCCTACTGACGTCACTGAAGGTGACTTACTCATTATCCCAACCATTGAGAAATCTCTAGATACTTGAGCAGGTATATTATTGAATACAATATTAATGAAAACTTGAATTGCTCTAAATTGCTGAATTGAACAATAGATGGAGTCTTGGAAGCAGACGAGGGTGAGATGAGAGACTACTGGTGTCGACCTGACCTAGGTCAGTGTTGCCACATCCGCCAGTCAGCTCATCTTGAACTAAGAAGATTTGATTCATCACTCATACCTGACGTTAACTTTATTACATACTTGACAACAGGAGTTATGAGGCATGAGGCAATGCTGCGTCATGCCCGGACTAAAGTGTTAATTACAGTTTCTTTAATACCTGAATTACTCAAAGTGATACTTTAAAACCAAGGAGAACTGACGACCCTGTTTCTGCATGCCTGTTCTAATCCCGGGGGGGGGGGGTGACCTTCCGCTCCAGAGTCAGGTAGACTACCTTCTCCTTCTCCCTCTCCCTCTCCCTCTCCCTCTCCCTCTCCCTCTCCCTCTGCTTCACGGAACCCTCCATGTGGTCTCATAAAATATTTATGCCAGATCTATAATGAATAATCTCTACAACAACCTTCGTTTGTTACAGGAGGAAGAGGCAGGGGGCAGGAGGAAGAGGCAGGGGGCAGGGGGCAGGAGGAAGAGGCAGGGGGCAGGGGGCAGGAGGAAGAGGCAGGGGGCAGGAGGAAGAGGCAGGGGGCAGGAGGAAGAGGCAGGGGGCAGGGGGCAGGAGGAAGAGGCAGGGGGCAGGGGGCAGGAGGAAGAGGCAGGGGGCAGGAGGAAGAGGCAGGGGGGGGCAGGATGAAGAGGCAGGGGGCAGGGGGCAGGAGGAAGAGGCAGGATGAAGAGGCAGGGGGCAGGAGGAAGAGGCAGGGGGGGGCAGGAGGAAGAGGCAGGGGGCAGGAGGAAGAGGCAGGGGGCAGGAGGAAGAGGCAGGGGGGGCAGGATGAAGAGGCAGGGGGGGCAGGAGGAAGAGGCAGGGGGGCAGGAGGAAGAGGCAGGGGGCAGGAGGAAGAGGCAGGGGGGGCAGGAGGAAGAGGCAGGGGGGCAGGATGAAGAGGCAGGGGGGGCAGGAGGAAGAGGTAGGGGGGGGGGCAGGAGGAAGAGGCAGGGGGCAGGAGTAAGAGGCAGGGGGCACGAGTAAGAGGCAGCGGGGCAGGAGGAAGAGGCAGGGGGCAGGAGGAAGAGGCAGGGGGGCAGGAGTAAGAGGCAGGGGGGGAAAGGGAGAAGAGGCAGGGGGGCAGGAGGAAGAGGCAGGGGGGAAAGGGAGAAGAGGCAGGGGGCAGGAGTAAGAGGCAGGGGGGCAAGAGTAAGAGGCAGGAGGGCAGGAGGAAGAGGCAGGGGGCAGGAGGAAGAGGCAGGGGGGCAGGAGTAAGAGGCAGGGGGGGCAGGAGTAAGAGGCAGGGGGCAGGAGGAAGAGGCAGGGGGGCAGGAGTAACAGGCAGGGGGGCAGGCGGAAGAGGCAGGGGGGGAAAGGGAGAAGAGGCCGAAGGGGGCAGGAGGCCGGGGCAGGGGGCAGGAGGAAGAGGCAGGGGGCAGGAGTAAGAGGCAGGGGGGCAGGAGGAAGAGGCAGGGGGCAGGAAGAAGAGGCAGGGGGGCAGGAGTAAGAGGCAGGGGGGCAGGAGGAAGAGGCAGGGGGGCAGGAGTAAGCGGCAGGGGGGCAGGAGGAAGAGGCAGGGGGCAGGAGTAAGAGGCAGGGGGGCAGGAGGAAGAGGCAGGGGGGCAGGAGTAAGAGGCAGGGGGGGGAAAGGGAGAAGAGGCAGGGGGGGCAGGAGGAAGAGGCAGGGGGGGAAAGAGAGAAGAGGCAGGGGCAGGAGTAAGAGGCAGGGGGGGCAGGAGTAAGAGGCAGGGGGGCAGGAGGAAGAGGCAGGGGGCAGGAGGAAGAGGTAGGGGGGCAGGAGTAAGAGGCAGGGGGGCAGGAGTAAGAGGCAGGGGGCAGGAGGAAGAGGCAGGGGGGCAGGAGTAAGAGGCAGGGGGGCAGGCGGAAGAGGCAGGGGGGGAAAGGGAGAAGAGGCAGGGGGGGGGGGGCAGGAGGAAGAGGCAGGGGGCAGGAGGAAGAGGCAGGGGGGGCAGGAGGAAGAGGCAGGGGGCAGGAGGAAGAGGCAGGGGGCAGGAGGAAGAGGCAGGGGGGGCAGGAGGAAGAGGCAGGGGGCAGGAGGAAGAGGCAGTGGGCAGGAGTAAGAGGCAGGGGGCAGGAGGAAGAGGCAGGGGGGCAGGAGGAAGAGGCAGGGGGGCAGGCGGAAGAGGCAGGGGGGGGAAAGGGAGAAGAGGCAGGGGGGCAGGAGTAAGAGGCAGGGGGCTGGAGGAAGAGGCAGGGGGCAGGAGGAAGAGGCAGGGGGCAGGAGGAAGAGGCAGGGAGGCAGGAGTAAGAGGCAGGGGGAAGGAGGAAGAGGCAGGGGGGCAGGAGTAAGAGGCAGGGGGCTGGAGGAAGAGGCAGGGGGCAGGAGGAAGAGGCAGGGGGGCAGGAGGAAGAGGCAGGGGGCAGGAGGAAGAGGCAGGGGGCAGGAGGAAGAGGCAGGGGGGCAGGATGAAGAGGCAGGGTTGCAGGATGAAGAGGCAGGGGGGCAGGAGGAAGAGGCAGGGGGCAGGAGGAAGAGGCAGGGGGGCAGGATGAAGAGGCAGGGGGGCAGGAGGAAGAGGCAGGGGGCAGGATGAAGAGGCAGGGGGGCAGGATAAAGAGGCAGGGGGCAGGATGAAGAGGCAGGGGGCAGGATGAAGAGGCAGGGGGCAGGATAAAGAGGCAGGGGGGCAGGAGGAAGAGGCAGGGGGCAGGAGGAAGAGGCAGGGGGGCAGGAGGAAGAGGCAGGGGGCAGGATGAAGAGGCAGGGGGGGCAGGAGGAAGAGGCAGGGGGGCAGGATGAAGAGGCAGGGGGGGCAGGAGGAAGAGGCAGGGGGCAGGAGGAAGAGGCAGGGGGGCAGGATGAAGAGGCAGGGTGCAGGATGAAGAGGCAGGGGGCAGGAGGAAGAGGCAGGGTGGCAGGATGAAGAGGCAGGGGGGCAGGAGGAAGAGGCAGGGGGGCAGGAGGAAGAGGCAGGGGGGGGGCAGGAGGAAGAGGCAGGGGAGGCAGGAGTAAGAGGCAGGGGGGCAGGCGGAAGAGGCAGGGGGGGAAAGGGAGAAGAGGCAGGGGGGCAGGAGGAAGAGGCAGGGGGCAGGAGGAAGAGGCAGGGGGGCAGGATGAAGAGGCAGGGGGGGCAGGAGGAAGAGGCAGGGGGGCAGGAGGAAGAGGCAGGGGGGCAGGCGGAAGAGGCAGGGGGGCAGGAGGAAGAGGCAGGGGGCAGGATGAAGAGGCAGGGGGGCAGGAGGAAGAGGCAGGGGGCAGGAGGAAGAGGCAGGGTGGCAAGATGAAGAGGCAGGGGGCAGGATGAAGAGGCAGGGGGGAAAGGGAGAAGAGGCAGGGGGGGCAGGAGGAAGAGGCAGGGGGCAGGAGGAAGAGGCAGGGGGGGAAAGGGAGAAGAGGCAGGGGGGCAGGAGGAAGAGGCAGGGGGCAGGAGGAAGAGGCAGGGGGCAGGAGGAAGCGGCAGGGGGGCAGGAGGAAGAGGCAGGGGGCAGGAGGAAGAGGCAGGGTGGCAAGATGAAGAGGCAGGGGGCAGGATGAAGAGGCAGGGGGGAAAGGGAGAAGAGGCAGGGGGGGCAGGAGGAAGAGGCAGGGGGCAGGAGGAAGAGGCAGGGGGGGAAAGGGAGAAGAGGCAGGGGGGGCAGGAGGAAGAGGCAGGGGGCAGGAGGAAGAGGCAGGGGGGCAGGAGGAAGAGGCAGGGGGCAGGTTGAAGAGGTAGGGGGGGCAGAAGGAAGAGGCAGGGTGGCAGGATGAAGAGGCAGGGGGGGCAGGAGGAAGAGGCAGGGGGCAGGATGAAGAGGCAGGGGGGGCAGGATGAAGAGGCAGGGGGGGCAGGATGAAGAGGCAGGGGGGCAAGAGGAAGAGGCAGGGGGGCAGGAGGAAGAGGCAGGGGGCAGGATGAAGAGGCAGGGGGCAGGATGAAGAGGCAGGGGGGGCTGGAGGAAGAGGCAGGGGGGCAGGATGAAGAGGCAGGGGGGCAGGATGAAGAGGCAGGGGCAGGATGAAGAGGCAGGGGGCAGGATGAAGAGGCAGGGGGGGCAGGAGGAAGAGGCAAGGGGCAGGATGAAGAGGAAGGGGGGGCAGGAGGAAGAGGCAGGGGGGGCAGGATGAAGAGGCAGGGGGGCAGGAGGAAGAGGCAGGGGGGCAGGAGGAAGAGGCAGGGGGCAGGAGGAAGAGGCAGGGGGGCAGGATGAAGAGGCAGGGGGGCAGGATGAAGAGGCAGGGGGCAGGATGAAGAGGCAGGGGGGCAGGAGGAAGAGGCAGGGGGGCAGGATGAAGAGGCAGGGGGGGCAGGATGAAGAGGCAGGGGGGGCAGGAGGAAGAGGCAGGGTGGCAGGATGAAGAGGCAGGGGGGGCAGGAGGTCGTAACACCCACCTGGGGGGCGGGTGTTACGGTGTCTTCCTCCTGCCCCCCCCCCTGCCTCACCCCCCTAGGTGGGTGTTACGACCTGGTCCTCCCCCCCCCCAGGTGGGTGTTACGACCTGGTCCTCCCCCCCAGGTGGGTGTTACGACCTGGTCCTCCCCCCTCAGGTGGGTGTTACGACCTGGTCCTCCCCCCCCCCCCAGTGGGTGTTACCACCTGGTCCTCCCCCCCCCCCAGGTGGGTGTTACGACCTGGTCCTCCCTCC